CAGAAATACCGTACGGTAGATCTTCAATTTTGTGCTGTCCAGAAATACCATACAGTAGATAAATGTTGTGCTGCTCAGACATACCATATAGTAGAACTTGAATTTCATGTTGCCCAGAAATACCGTACGGTAATCTTCAATTTATGCTACTTAAGACATACTGTACTGTAGATCTTCAATCTCATGCTGCCCAGAAATATAGTACTGTAGATCTTTTAATTTGCACTGTCCAGAAATACTATACAGTAGATCTTAAATTTTGTGCTGTCAAACATAACGTATGATAGAGCTTTATTTTTGTGCTGTCCAGAAATACCGCACGATAGATCTTCAATTTTGTAATGTCCAGAAATACTGTACGGTAGATCTTTTAATTTGCGCTGTCCAGAAATACCGCACGATAGATCTTCAATTTTGTAATGTCCAGACATACTGTACGGTAGATCTTCAATTTCATGCTGCCCAGAAATACTGTACGGTAATCTTTAATTTATGCTACTTAAGCCATACCGTACAGTAAATCTTCAATTTCATGCTGCCCAGAAATACCGTACGGAATACTGTCGTTCTTCATCTGTGTTTCTCAGGAACTTGTTCAGTGTGGGTGACAACACGCCTCTAAAGTTCTCCGTTTCTTCACAATGAAGGAATCATCTCTTGCATATTTGCATATGTGATGATGTTCCCAGGCCTTGTTTTCTTCTTTTATTTTCCTCTGTGACCATTTCTGATGCGAAATCCCCCCCATCAGCAGGTGGCGGGTAAACATATGCCTGAGATGCCATGGGGTGCTGAAGCCGGATCATCTCCAAAGGCTAACTGGCAGGTCTAAGCAGTGCCGGGCATTAATGCATATTATTCACAAAGAGCATGATTGAAGAGAAAAATGTGCCCGGCGTGTACCCAGCTGCTCCGTTGGCACACCGTTCGCTCAGCCTGAGTTTTTAAGAGCGAGCTCGGATTTAGCCGCGCATTCACCGAATTCCCCATGCAGCTCCTATTCAGTCAGTCATCCATTCACTGAGCCACAGGCAGGGCAACAAACTGATGTCTGTATGAGAGAGACTGTGTTCCCTGAACAGTTTCATAAGTGACAGCAAATTCAGATTTTTAACATGTATAAACGGTAAATGTGTAGATTTTTTTAAAAAGGCCACCCCTGGTGTTCTCGTACCGTAGGAGCCGAACACAACGAGTCTCCACCGTGAACATCCCCATTCAACACCGTAGGCAAACGACTCGCTTTTACATTTTTCATTTTCTTTCGTTTCGTTCGCTTCGGCACGTCTTGGCTGATGCACGCACCGCCATTAAACACACAATGCTTTCCGTTTGCAGCCAAACGCAGCAAGAAGCTCCTCAGCCTCCACATGAAGGCACTTCTTAGGAGCTGTTTACATTTAGAAACACATATGGATATATTTTTCCATTGCTTGCCTCTCAGCCAACAGGAGGTCAGCAGGTGCTTCTGTGCTCAGCAGATGGTTTGTTTGCTTTGGTCTGTCAGTTTGATGGGAATGTTTAGACATATGGCTCCCTCTAGAGGAGATAATCTAAGGTTTTTCCAGGCCCAAACATCCTGAAAAGAACGTTTCCCTCAAACAGACTTGGTAAGAAAAACAGTTACAACGATTTGACCTAATTTTAAAATAATTAATTAAATTTAGTTTAATTTAGAGTAAAAGTAAACTTTTTTTAGAGGCGTATTTATATTTTCTCAAAACCGTACACAGAATAAATTGCACAGTACTGATATTGTAATTTGTACTTTAAAAAAAAAAAGATTTTATTTTATTTCACAGAATGGTGTAGGATTTAATTCAACTTTTATTTATACATGTTAGTCTCAAGAGAGACCTGTTTATGATAAGCTTAAAAGGGACAGTTCAGATCTGATGAAGTGGGGTTCCGTGGTAAGTTTGTGAACAATCACTATCTTACCTGTTAGATAGCTTTATGAGAAACCTCAGTAAAAAAAAATAAAATAAAATAAAAAGTTTAATTTGGGCCGAATTGCTGAACAGCTGACATCTTTAAACAACTTATAGATTTTTCACTACTTGGATATTCTAGCAGAAATATTGTCATACCATATTTTTCGGACTATAAGGCGCACCGAATTATAAGGCGCACCGAATTATAAGGCGCATTAAGTGAAACTAAAACATTTTGACAAATTTTTGAGTGCCATTTTTATTTAGAATAAATAAAAAATATGTAAAGGTCGTCAGCAACAGAGTTCAGAACATGGCTCATATGGCTTCATGAAATAGATCTGATTGCTCTTGAATATATGTTTTTTTACAGTTGAAGTAAAAAAAAAAAAAAGTATGAAAAACTATAAAGAAATTTTCAAAAAAAAAAAACGCTAATTTGACGGTTTTTCTCCACGAACCTCTTATTTGTCTTTTATGTGCCTGAGTATAAATATTGAGCTAATCAAGTACCGGTAATAAACTCTTCTTCCAATTGATGTTCAAAAAGCTATCTTCAACAGGTAAGATGTTAATTCTTTGTATCTTTTCCACAAAACCCGATTTTAAAATATCGAAACTTTCCATTTAACTAGCCGTACAATCACTGATCAAAATCCACTTATTTGCCAATTTTACAAATAATAATAATAAATTAATACTTAAAAGTATATTGTTTGACAAAATACCTAAACTTAATATACGGTAATTAATAGAGTAATCAACTTATCAGATGGTACTTAAATATAAATAAAATGTTACAGAAAGTATTTTAAATAAACGAACGAGGCAGATTTTGACATTTTGATTCGTCTTTCCAAAGAGCATTCATCATTTGTCAGCTTTCTGAAAGATCTGCAAAACAAATGACAAGAAAAAAAAGACTTCTTTTTAATATTGTTTTTATTTTACAGCACAAACAGTCTTTTTTATTTTACATATATTTTTGGAAACATACCTGTTGCCCTCTGAGTGGTTTGCTGTAAAATTCAGAGTCCGGTGGTTGGGTTCCTCTCTGACTTTGATTCACTGTAATGCCCAGAGGTGGGGAGATTTTACAGAATGAACAGAAAATTGTTAAATAAAAGTTAAATAAATGAGTCCGGACATTAGTAAAGTTTCCTCTGAGAGACTTGAAACACTCACTTGGCGTCTGGTGCATGTTGATGATTTTATCTACAGGGAGAGAAGAGACGTTCACATTTTTCAGGGTTTAATTTGAACATCGGTGATTTGTGACTTTAGCACTCCTAATTTACCGTAGGCGCTGTCGTCAACAACAGTGGCTCTCAGCAGACTCTGGTTCTCCTACGGTGACAAAGATCGGTACTTTGTAACAAAGACACTTTTTCAACCTCGTGATAATGTTTCATAAAATCATAGATTCAAACTGCAGTTTACTACAAAACAAGCCTAAAAAGCAATGGTTGAAGCGCTTTTATCTGGAAAAAAGTCCACTGATGCGTTTAGAAATGCATAACCTTGGAGGTCAGGGAAGAACTTTATCGTATAAAAGTTTAAAATCCAGGGGCGCCACCAAGGGGGGCATTATCCCAACCCCCTAAACAGTACAGGAGGTGCCACTGTTCAAACCACCTTTTTTATGTATGTATCCATCCATTGTCTTCCACTTGTTCCAAAGTCGGGTCGCGGGGGCAGTAGTTTGAGCAGGGAAGCCCTGTGGTTACCCAATCTGTTGCGGAACCCAATCCGTAGTGTAACTCATTTGCGCATGCGCTAAAATGAATACTTCCGGGTCGCATGGATCGCTGTTCAATATACTAGATTAAGGAAAATGTACTGGTATAATTCCGTTTGTGAATAAGAACGGTCTTTTCCAATTTTCCAATCTTATTTTATTGAAAAACATACAACATACCCATATCCTGTAAACAATGCAAACTTGTTTTAACTGGCCATGAGGTATAAATGAAGTTTAGACAATTGTTACAACAAAGTCCATGCTCGATAATCCAGGTATACAATCCAACATTTTTCAGTCTGGTCATCTGGACAGTTTCTTTTGAGCATGGACTTTGTTGTTTTCAACCAGTTTGACACGACTGTCAACAAGGAAGAGGGCCGGCAATGGAGGAGGGGGCATGCCAAAGAGACCATCTTAGCACCAACATAACTGGTTTGTTCCACTTTGGAGTGAGCTGTTGGAGAAAGAATCATTTTTGTGTTGTGTGTTTCCTTGACTGATGAAGCCTTCCGGATTGAAGGCGAAACGTTTCAGCACAAAAAAAGAAACCGTCCAAATGACCTGACTGAAAAATGTTGGGTTAGACAATTGTTGTTAAAGCTACAAAAAAATAGGTCAAATCAGTTTCTCGTGTAAGTATCGGCAGATCGATGATCACCCAAAATGAAGGAAATTGGGACCGATAAATCGTCCAGCCTATTTATCGGTGCACCCCTAGTTCTTTGCAATGGTTTTGGGGGATATTTTTAGTAGGTTTTTTTTTCTTGATGTGGATTTCGTTAATTTCTAGATTTTGAGATTCCTTTTATTCAGTATCTCAGCCATTTCCTCAGTTATTCTTGGACTCTGTTAACCTTTCACACCTGCTTCTCATACCCATTAGGCTCAGCTGTCACCATTGCTCCCGGTCCTCATTCAGTCTTCAGTGGGTCACCCCGTTTCCTTGAGTGTGTGTCTGTGTACATGTTGTGAGCATGTGTGCAGACCTCCTTCTTGGTGTCCACACCCTTCTGAACCCGCTGCCAGTCCCTGAAGTGGTCGGCAGCCTCGTCCACGGTGAGGGAGCCGGTCTTCACCCTCTGCTGCAGCTCGACGAGCCGCTCCAGCCCGGGCATCCGGTTCGGTACAAACGTGTCGTAGGTGGAGGTGATGCTGCCTTCTCGCTTATGTCCTGCAAGAAACAACAACAAAAACACACATGTATTGGTGATCTGGGAAATTGACAAAATGCAAATTTGTTTTTAACTTTTTACAATAAAATAATCTGTGAACAACTGCCAAATAATGTTTCAACGTGGTCTTGATGTATCCAAAATGATTCATCCACAGAAGAATTTTCTTAACCTACCGGTAAAACTTTTATTTTTATGTCCGTATGGTGACTCGCATAACTTGCTAAGTGCTCACTGCCATGAAAGGAAGGTGATTATGTTTTATGTAATAGATGGAGATTGTGTATAGGGGCCGAGATGGTGTAGGGGCAGGGCAGCCGACTCGGGACTCGAAGGTTCCGGGTTCGATCCCCAGTCATTTCACATCTCGTGGTGTCTCTGAGCAGGACACCTCATCCCCAGTTGCTCCCCAGGCACCTTCCATAGCTGCCCACTGCTCCACCTGGTGGTGGATGGGTTAAATGCAGAGAGCCAATTTCACCATTGTATGGGAACATACAATGATGACTATATATATATATATATATATATATATATATATATATATATATATACACACACATTACACATTAATAATCTGTTTGTCTGTTAGCAAAATATCTCGTAAACGACTGGACGGATTTTCGTTAAATCACTAGATGTCAGTCAAATTCATGATGCTTATCATCTTAGCAACCACAAAAATGGCCTTAAAGCAGTCAAACTTACAGAAACACAGGTAACGTTTTGTGGGACAGTAGCTGAGCGTCATTCCCAACATCCACTCTGAGCACAGATAAGTGTAGTCATGTATAAGATTACTTTTGAAGTTCGACCAAAACGGTTTAACTCCTTTATTTTTATTTTTACATAAAATTATGTTGGTTTTAAACCTTAGCATGAAAAGCAGCCATTTGTTGAAGGAATGCCAGATCAGTCATTTTACTGTTGGCTTGCTTGAGAATTTTGAACTTCTACCACAGAAACGTGAACGTTTAAATTATTATTTTTTTATTTATTCCAGTCAATAAAGATGAAGATACAGTCAATTCTTCTTCTATGTAGCGATAAAGATATATATAAAAAATATATAACAAACACTTTATGAAACACTTTATGAAACACTCTATGCGCTCACCTGCTTTTGAGTGAAGTGAAAACACACCAGGGGCCTCCTTTGGTTTCTTCTTCTGAAACACTGCAAACAGGCAGAAGAGGTGGACCAACCATCACATGATCTTATTTTGCTCTGTAACTGTGTCTTTCTTACACAAGATGGAGCCATAAGCTCAGTTTAAAATCAACTTCCTGGTACACCTAACCAGCTCAGTGTAAAAACAAAAGGAAAACATCCACATAAGGAAAGTGCTTTACAAAAATTAAGCCAACAAGTTCAGATCATATATTCAAGTCAAGTCAGTTTAAAACTGATCCAGATTTGAATCCAATCCACTTAGAATATATTATATAGATTCAGTAAATAGGATCGGAAAATGCTGCCTATCTCTAATGGAGCAAGGACATGTCAGAATTATTTTAATCTAATTTTCCACCCTGAGCAAGCGCAGGGTGGTGGGTGACAGTGGAGAGAAATGACTCTCTTTTAACAGGAAGAACAGAATCAGACTTAAGATGGGCGGCTATCTGGTGGGGATGGATTTAAACTTGTGGACTGACTGTTAACTGGTAAAATCCCAGCAATATTTACTCATTTAAAAATAACTGAAACATACTGTAAACAGTGGTGCGCACAGTTCCACTGATCCCCTAATACCAGAACAAACTTTATTTTCTGTTAGGCAGATTAGCTTTTAAAAAAAATTAATTTAAACCTTTAGTAGAATTAGCTTCTGCTGAGTTTAAATCCAGTAAATTGAAGTCTGCAACATTTTTTATATCAGTCCTCCATAATAAAAGCATATAGGAGATGATGGCTTACATAGAGCTATGTGATGCAACTCTAAGGATGCACTCAGTGACATCACCACGTCATATCTACAGCAAACAGTCTCTGACTCGTGGTGTCGGTTTACAGCCAATAACAGAAACTTTATCATAAACGCCAAACCAGAACAAGAAAATAACACGAAGAACACATTTTCACTCCAAACAGTCAGAAACATTGCACAAATAATTCCTACTCATCATACTTTGCAACGCCCATACTGTCTCTGGGATGTGACTCTCTCACACATTTCTCACCTCTTTACTTTAAGCCAAACAGATTAACGATGACAACGCACAGCAGCTTTGTAGTTAGTTTATAAAAGTAGTTAACCACAAAGAGGATCACCAATGTGAGTTAATTCATTATAGCAAATGGCATAAGGGAGATGTCCGACACACATTGAATGCATCGCTCTGCTTCAGCACAGCAGAGTTCTGCTCTACTCAGTGTTGCCAGGTGTACGATAATTTCCCTCAAAATATGATAATTTTATGTCTCTAGTACGATAATCCTACATTTCTCACCTGGCAACACTGGCTCTACTGTACATGCATTCACTTACAACGTTGTCACATTACAGACAGTCTTACAGTGTTAGCGACAGCAGTGTATGATAAAAATTAGCGCTTTAGTGTTCGCTTACTTAATTTAAAAAAAATCTGTTTAGCGCTAGCTAAGCTAATTTTTTACTTCACGAATTAGCGGTTAGCTAACTTTTTGGTTAGCTGTGCCCACCGCTGTATATGAATATCCAAAGTAACTGTGGTCAAATTATGAATTAAACTTAATTGCAGAAGAAATGTGTTTGTCTCTTTATCAGAATGTTAGCATGTTAGTCACGCAAACGTATACGCAGTAACATGGACGTTCGGTTGAGAAAGCGGCGACAAACTAAAGAACCAGTTTCGTTCAAACGTGTGGAGATTTAATATCGGCTAATATTGCGTTTTTCACAGCTGTATGTTGTTTTTGAGAAAACACTGTTTTATAAAACGTAAACAAATGAACCAAAAAAAGGCCCTGGTTTGGCTAGCCGTTAGCCTAGGCTGGACGAAGGCTTTTCCTTCTTTCTTCATGCTGTGCTCCATGCCTGATGTCACGGATGATAAGGTAGTACTGTTCATAACTAAATAACGGAACATCACTTATAAATGTGTACACTACTTTCTTTTTGCATACACTGAAATAACTCCACCCTTTGAGCAATTCTTTTTAAAGGTCTACATTTTGCTAAAACTTTCTGAAGAACTTAAAGGATTACTAAGCATGAACTTTAGTGTTTTGAGCCACGTTGGCATGACTGTCTCAGAGGAGTTGACGGGGGAGAGGGCGGGCCCTGGAGACCATCTTAGCACCAGCAAACTGTTTTTTTCCACTATGGAGTACTGTATGCTGTTTGTGAGAATCAGTTTGTTTGTTGTCTCCTCAGATTGAATAAGTTCTTTGGATGAAGGATGAAACGTCTCATTAAAAAAAGAGACCATCCAGATAACCTGACTGAACACTGTTTAAAGCTAAAAATAGCAGAACAGTTGCAAAAAGCGAACAGAATCTTAACCCTAGCTTAAAGCCAAATATAGATGCTAGCTAAAAGTGGCAAAACACTAGCAAAAGCAGCAAAATGTTTGCTTAAAGTTAAACGTAGAAAATGGCATGCTAAAAGTATCAAAAGGCTAGCTAACTAATGATAGCAAAGCACTAGCTAAAAGTTGCAGGACAATTGCTAAAAGCTAAGAGAATTTGAATGTTATCTAAAAGCCAAATATAGATGCTAGCTAAAAGTAGCAAAACACTACCTAAAGGAGCTAAATATTAAGAGTTAAATCTAGAAAATGTTTTGCTAAAAGTATCAAAAGGCTATAGCTAACAAGAAATAATAAAACGCTAGATAAAAGTAGAAAGCACTTACTAATTACTAGAAGAAGCAAACGACAGCTACAAGTATCCGAATGGTAGCTAAAAACCAAAATTGTCCTAATGTAGCAAAACAGTAGAGAAAAGCTAAAAACAATAAAATGAAGCAGCAAAAGATTAGCTAAAAGTTAAGCAAAGAAAATGGCATGCTAAAAGTATGAAAAGGCTAGCTAACAATTAATAATAGTAAAGCGCTGGCTAAAAGTTGCAGGACAATGGCTAAAAGCTAAGATAATTCAAATGCTAGCTAAAAGCTAGCAAAGCTAGCTAAAAGTAGCAAAACCCTAAAGCAGCAAAACATTAGCTAAAAGTTTAATCTAGAAAATGTCTTCCTAAAAGTATCAAAAGGCTAGCTAACAACTAATAATAGAAAACGCTCGGTAAAAGACAAGTACAAAACACTTGCT